GAAACACCTTCCATAGCCAGAATTCTACAAACATTTTATAGTGGTATTCAATGAATTTCATAAAAACATTTTCCTGAATAGATTTAAGTTATTTCTACTTTGACAAAGTACAGTCTTGTGTCCTAAAAAAGGCACAGGGGGTGGGGTAGGGGTGGAGAGAAAGAGGAAGATCTGATACAGACAGACAAGAGAGGAAGAGGAAGAAAGAGACAGAAAATGAGAATTATAACTTAAATACAGAAAAACAAATCATATAATAGGAATAAAATCAAGCTGGCCTTAGATACCTCCATGGCAATGTTTAAACTCAGCCATGTTGAAGGGAGCAGCCATCTGCAACTTTCTGGAAGAAAGGAAGGATAGGACTTCAAATATTATACCCAGCCAACATGCCATTCACTTGTAAGGCTAGCATGCAAATAGGTGAAGAAGTGCATATGAGTGCTGCTTATTAAAAACATTCATTCATTCATTCATTCATTCATTTATTTTAGAAGTAGTTGGACACATACCTTGATTTTATTTACTTAATTTTATGTGGTGCTGAGGATCGAACCCAGTACCTCGCACATGCTAGACAAGCACTCTACCGCTGAGCTACAATCCCAGCCCTGATGAGTGCTGCTTTTACAAAATACTACTTGGTTGTGAAATCAGCCAATTAAGTATTAAAGAGCTCAAGGAGAAGTCATGGTAGAATGACTGCGAGAAGATTGCCTGAGCTCAGACACAGATTCTGTAGTTAATATCTATGGGATTATAGAATGGAATGTGAATGTTATGAACATGTAGTGTCAATATAACAAAAATAGGGAGAAGAAATGGGATTAGAAATGTTAATGCTAAGATTTTCAGCTTTCAAAGCAGGAAGCTAGTAGAGTGCCCAAAAGTAAATTGTGTAAACATTTAAAACTTGAGCAAACAACATTAGTTAAAAAAATGATTAATAAAACTAAATAATTAGCTACTTAATGGATAATGATTAAATAACACTAAAGCTTTAATAATTTTCATGTATTTTTTAAAAACGGACTATTCCAAAAATATATAAAGTAAATAGCCAATACTAATTTATATGTTATTTGCATTTAATAGATGTCACCATGTTGTTATATTTGCTTCAGATCTTGTACAAAATATTTTAGAGAAAAGGAAAAGTTTAGATAAAATATAATGAATACTAATGCATTTAGCACCTATACTGGGAAATAAAACATTGTGAATACAATTGAGGACTCTGGTATGTTCTTCTCAAGTACCAGAGGTAGTGTCCTGATTTTGGTTTCAGTTGTTCACCTGCATTTCTTAAAAATATGTTGAAAGCCAGGCACAGTGGCATATGTCTGTAATCTCAGCAGCTTGGGAGACTGAGGCAGGAGGATTTAAGTTTACAGCCAGCCTCAGCAACTTAGTGAGGCTCTAAGCAACTCAGTGACACCCTGTCTCTAAATAAAATACAAAATAGAGCTGGAGATGTGGCTCAGTGGTCAAGTGCCCCTGAATTTAATCCCTGGTACCGCCCCCCCCCCCCAATAAAAAAAAGTTGAATTACTATATATTTTTATGTAGTCTTCATAAAAAACAACATTTTGGCTGGGTATGATGGTGCAAAGGTATAATCCCAGCTACTCAGGAGGCTGAAGCAGAAGAATTGTAAGTTTGAGGCCAGTCTCAGCAACTTTTGTGAGACCCTGTTTTGAAATAATAAAAAGGCCTGGGACCATACTACCACAAGCAGTATACTGATTCAGTGCAATCCTCATCAAAATACCAATGGCATTCTTCACAGAGCTAGAAAAAACAGTCCTAAAATTCATTTGGAAGAAAAAAAAAGACCCAGAATAGCCAAAGCAATTTTAAGGCAAAAAAGCAATGCTGGAGTCATCAGAGTACCTGTCTTCAAATTATACTGCAGAGCTATAGTAACAAAAACTGCATGGTACTGGCATACAAATAGACACAGAGACAAACCCACACATCTGCAGTCATTTCTTGACAAAAGTGCCAAAAAGATACATTGGAGAAAAGACAGCCTTTTTAACCAATGGTGTTGGGTAAACTGGTTATCCATATATAGAAGAATGAAACTAGACCTTATCTTTCACCTTGCATAAAAATCAGCTCACAGTGAATCAAAGACCTGGGAGTTAGACCAGAAATTATGCAACTTCTACAAGAAAACATAGGGTCAACGCTCCAACACATAGGCATAGGCAATGACTTCTCAATACCCATAAAGCTCAGGAAATAATGCCAAGGAGTTAATAATGGGATGGCATCAAATTAAAAAACTGCACAGCAAAGGAAACAATTAGGAGTGTAATGGGAACCTACAGAATACGGAAAATCTTGGCTGGATAAGTATCTCTAAAGTATATAAAAAATCTTTAAAAACTTTACACCAAAAATAATACAATTAATAAATGGGAAAATGAATTAAACAGACATTGCTCAAAAGAAGAAATACAAATGGCCAACAAATATATAAAGAAATGTTAAACATTATTAGTAATTATAGAATGCAAATCGAAACTACACTGAGATTTTATTTTACACCAGTCAGAATGGCAGTCATCAAGAGTAAAAAGGCTGGAAAGGATGTGGAGGAGAAGGAACATTATACTGTTGGTGGGATTGTAAATTAATACTACCACTATGGAAATCTATAGATTCCTCAAAAGAGTAGTCATGGAACCACCATATAACACAGTTATACACTCCTCAGTATTTTTCTTAAAGAATTACAATAATTACACTACAGTGATATGTGCATACCCATTTTTATAGCAGCACAATTCATAATAGCCAAACTGTGGAACCTGCCTAGGTGTCCATCAACAGAAGAATGGATAAAGAAAATGTGGGATATATACGCATGGAGTTTTATTCAGCCATAGAGAAGAATGAAATTATGTCATTTGCAGAGAAATGGATGGAACTAGATACCATTATCATGTTAAGAGAAATAAGTCAAACTCAGAAGGTCAAGGGTGGTATATTTTCTCTCATAAGCAGAAGCTAGAGAGGAAAAGGAGAAGAAAGATGGGAGCAATCTCATGAAAATCAAAGGGAGTTCAGTAGAAGAAAGGAACCAAGGGGGTGGGAGATGGGGAGGAAGGAAAGAAGTGCTGGGGAGTGATACTGGCCAAATTATATTGTTATATTGTGTGCATGTATGAATACGCAACAAGATACCCATTGTTATGTACAACTATAACGTACTGATTTTGAAAAACATGGATAAAAAAGGCCTAGGAGTATAGCTTAGTGGTCAAGTGCCTCTGAGTTCAATTCCTAGTACTGGGGGAAAAACTAGAAATAATATTCTGCATTTTTGTCCTTTATTTAGCTTAACATTCTTTGAGATTTTTGTTGCTATATATTGCTTGAGTTTATTTGGTTACATGGATATGATTTATTAATTTGTTAATTCATTTTTAATTGATAGACAGCTGTTTTCGCTATGATGTTATGATAAAATTTTTCTAACATTTTCTTTTAAGAATGTTTTTGAGGGGCTGGGGTTTTGGCTCAGTGGTAGAGCACTTGCCTAGCATGTGTAAGGCACTGGGTTCGAGCCTCAGCACCACATTAAAAAAAATAAGTAAACAAAATAAAGGTATTTTTTTTAAAAAAGGAATGTTTTTGATAATTTTTAAAAAGTTGGTTTATACAGGTATACTCTCAGAGAAAAGAAACATTTACTTAAAGTACAATAAGACCTTTGTTTTTTTTTTTGGCTATTAATTCTAGAAAAGTTAGAATTAATACTTTTAGCTGTGTGGGGGTGCCACATACCTGTAATCCCAACTACTTTGGAGGCTGAGGTAGGAGGGTAACAAGTTTGAGACTAGCCTGGGCAACTTAGCAAGATCCTGTTTCAAAGTAAAATTTTAAAAAGGGCTGTGGATGGGGCTGGGTTTGTGGCTCGGTGAGCGCTTGCTTAGCATGCATGTGCCCCTGGGTTTGATTCCCAGCATCACGTAAAAAACAACAACAACTAAATAAACAAAGGTATTGTGTCCATCTACAACTGAAAATATTAAAAAAAAGGGGGGGCTGTGGATGTAGCTTATTAGTAGAGTGATCCTGGATTCACTCCCCAGTACCACCCCCATCCCACACAATGTTGCCTCCCGCCGTGCAAAAAAAAAAAAAAATCAACATTTTAAAAGTATCATCTAAGGATTTATCCCTGTATATAAATTTTTTTTGTTAATCTTTTTCCCCCTGTTTATGTGCATAGAAAGATAACTGGAATGTTGTTTACTCACTGTTAATAATATTTATTTCTAGGTAATAGAATGTGGGGTTGTGTTTTAAACTTTTAGCTGTTTTCTTCATAATGAATGTGTATGATTTATAATAGCAACTCAGTGATATTTTTCTCGAAAAAAAATACTCAAAATTAAATATGTTAAGATGTTGAATATGATTATTTAGTAATGCAAGGGTAAGTATAAATTGTATGGCAAGAATATTAAATTATTTTCATTTTGGCATGTTTGTATTTCAGAAGATCAGTATGTAAATTTATAGTATAATTGAAATGCTATAATATATTCAGCCTTCCTTAAAAGTATGACTAAAATCAATTAGATGAAAGAAAAGGGAAATTTTCTAGTAATTTCCTTTTATTTATCTTCAGTGTTTTATGATGGATTGAAGGAAAAGTTATTGTAATAAATTAAGTTTAAGTCCCTTTAGTATGATGCAATCTTCAAGTGATTTAGACTACAGAAGAGATTTTCAGAAGAGGCATTAGAAGCTTCCACCAGACTTTTATTTCCTTCTTGTCCCAGTGCTATGTAGTCCACCTTCCCTTCCTGAATTCTCAGATACCTAGTGGGCTCAGGTGTCGGTAGTGTTTGCCAGGGTAACTGGTGCCTCCCTGTGTCCTTGATTTAATGAACATCTCAAAACTGGATTGTTACAAATAAAAGAGTACAAGATATTCTGTTTTGTCATTTGGATAAAAATTTGATCTGTTTGTTTTGTAGGTATGACCTTGCTTCTAGGGAATGGCTTCCACTAAACCATTCTGTGAACAATGTGGTTGTTAGATATGGTCATTCTTTGGCTTTATATCAGGTAAAAATACCCGCACTCTGTACTAAGCATGAAACTCGACTCTTCCTCAGTTAATTTATGCATTATGCAGTTGAAAAGCTATTGAATGTTGTTTTTTTAATTGGGGCAGACTTTCTTTTGGCGGTGGGAGTTATTTGATTGGCTAAGTTGTAAATGGAATTGAAGCTGCAATTTCTTGAACCCAAGAGATTTTAATGGATCTAACCATACTGAGATATTATTGATTGTGATACCAAGTGGTTAGAACTGTAGATTAAAAAGTATTGATTAGCATTTATGCCATTCCAGGTTTAGCCAAGAATTGTCAAGCAACTAAATAATAATTTTCACCTCCCATTTTTGGAGGTATGTGGTAGGATGAAGCAACTTTATTTTTTCAAGTTATTTTATTATGTAAAAGATCTCATAAGCAAGCCCAAGAAAATGACAAAGTTTTAGAGACATAAAATATGGTTTGCTTATTTTTGTTCCTTTCTGTATCCTCTTCCTAATTATTCATGGAATGGCCCATTAATACTTTTTAAGCTGAGAACAATATTGAGGTTTTGAACTGGTCATTTTTTGTTCTCAGATTTGATTTTTTTTTTTTTTTAGAGAGAGAGAGAAAGAATTTTTTAACATTTATTTTTTAGTTTTCGGTGGACACAACATCTTTATTTTTTTATTTTTATGTGGTGCTGAGGATTGAACCCAGTGCCCCGCACATGCCAGGCGAGCATGTTACCGCTTGAGCCACATCCCCGGCCCCTCAGATTTGCTTATTTTTGTTCCTTTCTGCATCCTCTTCCTAATTATTCATGGAATGGCCCATTAATACTTTTTAAGCTGAGAACAATATTGAGGTTTTTGAACTGGTTATTTTTTGTTCTCAGATTTGAATTTTTTTTTTTTTTTAGAGAGAAAGAATTTTTTTAATATTTATTTTTTCGTTTTCGGTGGATATAACATCTTTATTTTTTTAATTTTAATGTGGTGCTGAGGATGGAAACCAGCGCCACGTGCATGCCAGGCGAGCGCATTACCGCTTGAGCCACATCCCAGCCCCTCAGATTTGAATTTTTAATGTTTTTTAAATCCTGTTTATGTTTTTTCCTCTAGGATAATATTTACATGTATGGAGGAAAAATTGATTCAACAGGCAATGTGACCAATGAGTTGAGAGTGTTTCATATTCATAACGAATCATGGATATTATTGACCCCAAAGGCAAAGGAGCAGTATGCAGTGGTTGGACACTCAGCACACATTGTAACACTGAAGAGTGGCCGGGTGGTCATGCTGGTTATCTTTGGTCACTGCCCACTCTATGGATATATAAGCAATGTACAGGAATATGACTTGGGTAGGTATATTTTTTTCTAATAGACATGTTTTAAACATCAACTTAAAAACCTCTCCCTTTATTTTTAGGATGTTAAACAATATTCAAGCTAACCTAGATCCAGTTCTTCATCTTGAAACACAGATTACACGGGTATAACCAGTAAAATTTAGGCTATTGATGCCCCTTTGTAGTGTGTATGTGCTAGTGTCAATGCAAGGAGCCAAAAAAGGCACTGAATAGTTTGGTTGTTAAAAATCAATGAAAATAGTTCAGAACTACAAATACTATGGAAAAGAACTTGTATGGCCCTTTAGTGATTGGTTTAATGGAGTGTGAATTTCCCTTAATATATAATCTTTCCTTTGGTTAAATTTTATTTTATCTATTATTGTTTAGTGGGAGTATCAGCCATAATTGACATTTTGATAAAGTTGGCCCATAATATACACCTCTATATTGGTCACTTAAAGGCCATAGTGAATTAAATTCTCACTTATTAAATTTAATGAAATTGTTTTCCTATATAGAGTGTTAGAACATCAAAACATGTAACAGATTGGAGTTGGCCATATGGCTTTGTTACAAGTTTTAAGTGGATTTCTTTTTTTAGACAGAAAGATAAAATTATATGTATTAACCCTCTTGAAATCTCTTCTCCATCTGTGAGATATTTTGAAGTTGCATTTTAGAGAAGGGGAACCTGCATGCTTTTGACTGTTTTTCCCTTTCCAGAGAGGAACACCTGGAGTATTTTGCAAACCCAGGGTGCCCTTGTGCAAGGGGGTTATGGCCACAGTAGTGTTTATGATCACAGGACCAAAGCCCTGTATGTCCACGGCGGTTACAAGGCTTTCAGTGCCAATAAATACCGGCTTGCAGATGACCTCTACAGATACGATGTGGACACCCAGATGTGGTGGGTGCTTTTTCTTGAGCTTTTGCTTAAAATTGTGAATTCTATAGAGGCAATTGTTGGGAAAATATATTTGCTGAATTTTTTTGGTTTCAGACCGGGCAGGTAATTCTGTTTAGCATTGTATATAAAGAAATTAGGAAAAAGCATAGGGTAATAAATTAGCTGATGTTTATTTTGTTATATTATCCTATTTTTGTACATGAAACTGCTTGGTTTTAGGGCATTGATTTCCAGTTTTCATACACTGAACACTACAGTAAAATTTTTTCCCTTCAGAATCCTAAGGAGTGAACTACATAGTTGAGTTTGTATACACATTTATAATCAAATAAACTATATTCTCTTTTTCTGGTGGTGATGTTTGAGATGGAACCCATGCATGGGAGGCAAGTGCTCTACCACTGAGCTGTACCTCCAGTAAGGTATATTCAGTTTTGAACTTTGTCTTGATGATCCAAGTGTCACCCTCGGGGTCGGCTACTGGTATCATTCCAATAAAATCAAATAGGATGCTGATACCTAATTGATAGAGCTCGCTTCACTCTGAACCAGAGACCAGCTTATAAAAAGTTCTCTGATTTTAACAACTGTAAAGCTAGTCTGAGTTATGAAATCATGTAATTTTAAAGCAATGTTTTTCTTCTTTTTGTATTTCCTCACATATTTGAGACCATGCCCATGAAAATGTATTTACATTTTGTCATAAAAATCATCATTTTTAGTGACTTTATAATACTTTTTCATCTGAGTATACTGAGCCTGTGTGATTGGAAGTTTTGGTTTCTAGCTTTTGTCTTATTAGTATTTTGCATAGGTCCCTCTCTGTTTCATATGATTTCTGCCCAGAAAGTGGAGACATAGTACCATGGGGTATTAACATTTTAAGGATCTTAATATCTTTTGCCAAAATTCTTATAAGTTTCTAAAGTTTTACATGTTTGTAGAGAGAGCTGCTAAGTACAAGGAAAATTCTGCAAGTATTTGCACATTTGGGTTTGAAGCTAATAAAATGGCTAAGTTTGCATTAGCAGATAAATAACTATTCTTAAAAACTAACCTTACATTTATTATTTTTCAATAAACTCAAAGGACCATTCTTAAGGACAGCCGATTTTTCCGTTACTTGCACACAGCTGTGATAGTGAGTGGAACCATGCTGGTGTTTGGAGGAAATACACACAATGACACATCCATGAGCCATGGTGCCAAATGCTTCTCTTCAGACTTCATGGCTTATGACATTGGTAAGTTTCCCAGAGCCATTTTTCTCTTCAGAAGTGTTTTTTTATATAAGCAGCATTTTAAAAGAAACTGGAAACATCACTAGTTCAAACAGTCAGGTCACTTGAAAGAGGTCCAAATGGTAATTTTGTATTTATTTGACTGAAGTTATATATTTATTCAGAAGCATTACTTTACATTCAGTTCTTTTAGAAGTCACTCTTTTTTATTTTTGAAGATGAGTTGAGATAACTAGTCTCTTCTTTGTTAGAAATGCTTTACATAGTAGTGTTATTTTGTAACTACCAGCACTGGGTTAAGATTAGCTTTATTTTATTTCTTGTGAAACAAGTCTCACATGTATTCTTGGTGTGATAATATACTTGACCACCAGAGGGCAGTATTTCCTCATTCATAAATAATACCAGTGTTGTGTATAAATATTAGATGGTCATTAAAAATATATTTTTTAATTGTGGTAAAATACACATAACATAAAATCTACTATCTTAATCTTTAAAAGTATATAGTTTGGGGCTAGGGTTGTGGCTCAGTGGTAGTGTTCACCTAGAATCTGTGAGGCACTGGTTTTGATCCTCAGCACCACAGAAAAATAAATAAATAAATAGAATTATTTAAAAAAGTGTATAGTTGGTAGAATTAAATATAATCATAATGCTATGCATTTAGCGCTACAATTCATCTCCATAATTGTCTTCATCTTATAAATCTGAAACTATCCATTTGGCAACATTTCCACCTTCCCTCTATCCTTTGCAACTACCATTATACTGTCTTTATTGTATACACATAAATCTACAGTTCACTTTCAGCAGACATTTATGTGCTAGCTCCTGAACTTCTGCATTGGGGATGATCAAATGAATAAGTTATAGCCCTTAGAGTAAAAGTGGAGGAGACAGAGAAATGAGCAGACAATATAGTTGCAATTCAAGATTTTTTTTCCACTGAAAGCAATATATTTGAGCATAACCAAGTATTCCTAAGTCCTGGTAAGGGCAACAGCAGGGAAGGCCTTCTTGTGGGTCCTGAGGAACACTGGGAATCAGTCACGTACTATTAGTACTTCCCAAACAGAGGAAGTCCATGTGTGGTGACACAGAGACAGGAAGTGACCAAGGCACATATATAGGGCCTGTGAGTTATTACTATCCTATTCATCATACCAAAGGTAGCAGTGACCCCAAAATAGACTAGAAAAGTAAACAGGTGTCAGCCTAGGACCTTCAGATCTTAAGTAGCCCTTTATGTTATGTTGAGGAATGTGGGATTTTTGAAGCATGTTTCAGAGGAAGTGATGGAATTGTATGTATATCTTAGGAATATCACATTAGTGGCGTTTTGTAGTATTTGGAAGGGGGCATGTTGGCATTTAGGAGACTTGCTGAAGTCTTGGTGAAGGTTTGAACTAAGGTGGTAGATGTGGCTCTGAGAATAAAGAGATAGACATACTTTGATAGCTCCCAGGAACTTTGAGGTTTGATGGGATGTGTTTTGAAAGAAATGAAAGCATCCTTAATCCCAGGTATGTGATGTGAACCATTACCTATTGCCAAGATTGGGAATCAACATGGATGAGTACAATCTGAGAAGAAGAGAGTGAAGGAAATGTTGGACCATATCCAATTGAGGATATCTGAGAGAGAACAACTCAGAGAGCTGGTAGGAAGCTTCAGGAGGTGTGAACTTCTGTAATGAAAAACAGCCACCAGGGCAGATGGATAGAGAAGTCCAAAAGAGAGTGAAGATTGTGAATAGTGTTATGGAAGTAGGAGGAAAATAGGCGAGAAGGATGATCTCAGAAGAATCGGTTAATGCCTCCAGAATAGTTAAGTAAAATAAGGACCTGAAAGTCCTTCAGATTTAGCAAGAGTTATTATTACCTTCTAGTCATAGAGGAGTAACGTAGATTATAGGAAGCTGGGAAATAACATGGGGTGAAGTGCATACATGGTGAACATTGACTTTTATTTAAAAACTTTAGTGAAGGGAAGGAAAAGGGCAAGTTGAGTGCCTCAGAGGGAGATATATCTAGGAGAGGCATTAGAGAAAGAAAAAGAGAGAGAGAGGAAGATGGGATATCTTGAGGATATTTAAATGTTGTGGTGAAAACCAAAATGAATGTGGAGACTCAAAGGAAAAAAGTTCTATGTCGTTGAGTCAGAGAAGGGACTTTGGGAGGGGAGAAGAAGAAGAGATCCTGACATACTGGTTTGGGGGAAGGAAGCAAGGTAGGCAGAAAGCTGGGGCAGTTGTGGCCTTTGAACTTCACCCTGAAGAAGATGGGGTAGAGGCTGGATAAGAGAAGACTATGTAGGTTATGGTCAAGCTCTGCTTAGGTAGCTCTCAGAGGGTGAGGCAGTGAGCATGTGGGTGGTATGGTGCAGGAGCACCTGCTCTTATTCATTCAGAAGAGAAGTTATTAGCATAGGTCAGGACAAAGGAAGCTTTTCTAGATCTAGGGGATCTAGAAAAAGACTTAAAATATTAGATGAGTTTAAATTTAAAAAATTTTAACTTTCACCTACATTTTTCCATTGTAGCTACTAAGTTTGGGCGAATCAATATAGAGAAGAGTGGAACATAATTGTGGAACTCACGTTTTACTTACATCAGCTTTGTAGAAAATAAATTTTCTTTAAGTTAAAAATTATCTTGGCTTGAGTTAGGGTGTGGTTCAGTGGTAGAACACTTGCCCATTGTACATAAGGCCCTCCTGTGTTTGATCCCTAGTACTACCAAAAAAAAAAAAGAAAGAAAAGAAGAAGAAACATTCTTGTGGGTACAATCAAAAGGATAGCAGGGTGAAAGACCTGTATGTCATGGCTGTTAGATGCTAATTGCCATATGACCCATCTTGTTTTTGGTACTGGGGATTGATCCCAGGGGTGCTTAATTACTGAGCCATGCCCAGCACTTTTTATATTTTGAGTCAGGGTCTTGGTAAGTTTCTTAGGGCCTTGGTAAGTTGCTGAGGCTGGCTTTGAATAAACCTCCTGAGCTGCTGTCTTGTGCCCCTGTGCCCATCTTTTGTACCCTACTGCTCCACTGCTGCTGGTTATTACCCAGCAATCATAGCATGACTAATAGAGTTGACTGGTATGTTTTACAAGGCTGTGTGTGTGTTACAGTCTTCTTCTCCTTTTTTTAAAAAAAATTTTTTTTTAATTGTAGATGAACACAATATCTTTGTTAATTTATTTTTATGTGGTGCTGAGGATTGAACCCAGTGCCTCACATGTGCGAGGTAAGCGCTCTACCACTGAGCTACAGCCCCAGCCCTACAGTCTTCTTGAAAACTGTCAGTTTCTGTTGATTATGAATGGCAGTCCTCTCTGATGTGTTTTTCTTGCTTCTAGCTTGTGACCGCTGGTCAGTGCTTCCCAGACCTAATCTCCACCATGATGTCAACAGATTTGGCCATTCCGCAGTCTTACACAACAGGTAATTGGAGAAGTGCTTGCTTCTTTTCTTTTGTGCTTGAGATGGAAGTGAAATAAAATATGTAGAAGTGAAAATGGACTAATATTATTTGTAGAATTCCCTCATTCCATTAGTTTTTCACAGAGTACAAATTTCCTGATTAAGGGTTAAAATATTCGATGTGACTGTAAATTGCTTCTAATGCCATGTTTGCTGATCTGGTGGTGTTAGCACACAGGGACATTCTATGTTTTGTGGTATTGGGATGTGTGGGGCAACAAAAGCTCCATGCATGTTACTGTGTTAGGTCTTATGTAATTCTTTTTGGTACTTACGTTGTTGAGTTTCAAGTAGCTGTATCTGAACAGTAAAGAAAGTTTTGGAAAAAAGTAGAGAGCCCTTTAGGTGAGAGATAAGGTAGGGAACAGAAATGGAGAGGTTGTGGATCTTAATATAAGGCCAGTCTGTAGTCCTTGGATATTTTGAAGTCTGCAATGTGTTTTTCTTCATTGCTTAAAATCGCCTGGGCCAGCTACCAGAACTCATCATAAATCTTCTCTGGAGAAACTCTGTCCAATAAAGGAGATTCTGAGTGGCCACTCTACCTACCTGTTTCTTACATTGAGCTTTAAAGATGTTTAAGAAGTTAAACAGCCTACTCATGTCATTAGTTTTTCTCATTCTGTTTCTGCTGTTATTACTACTGTTTCTACTTTTAAAATTCAAAGTCACATAGACCCTGTAACTATTGAAGCCTTTAATATTTGCATTATGTTAGGATACCTTTGGCTTTTAAAAAATTTCTGTTGTAATGATGAGAGTAATTTAACTTGAATTAGGAAAAATAAGAAAGCAACATTTTTGAGATATTGTAAGGAAGAGTTGATAGAATTTAGACACTAGGTATTGGTCCAAGTGCTATCTTTTATAGAGCAGTTATTTAAATTTTTTTAGCAATATGTAAGATTTTATGGTGAGAACATTTGGTAGTGATAGACTAGCCTCTTGAAGTTTTCCCCCCAGAAAGCAGAGGCAGCCCTGGGCATTACCTTGCCTGTGGCTGCCTGGCCCCAGTTCTCCTCATCTTGGCATTCCTGGAGTTCTCCTGGCGCATAGTTTGGAGTGGAATAGGCATTTGCTAGATGTCAATCATTCGTACTGTGATGGTAACTATCAAACAGATGAATCTTTTATTAAAACCTTCTTGAGTTTTATACAAACTCAACAAGAAGTTGACTGTTTATCACAAAATGTAGTTTAACCATGAATCAAAGTTGGAAATGGCTTGTTTGATGATGATGCTTCTGTTTTTGTGTAATACAATAGTGTGTTTGAGCCTGATATGTGAGTGTGAGTACTGGACAGGGTTGGCTGGGGCAGGAGATAATGAATGAGGCCATCTACTAAAAGGCTGTGGTTTTAGTTTAATTTTATGAAATAATATGGTGAAAGAGAAACTTTGATTCACATAATTTCTTTCTTTTTTTTTTTTTTTAGAGAGAGAGAGAGAATTTTTAAAATATTTATTTTTTTAGTTTTTGGTGGACATAACATCTTTATTTTATTTTTATGTGGTGCTGAGGATCAAACCCAGTGCCCTGCACATGCCAGGTGAGCACGCTATTGCTTGAGCCACATCCCCAGCCCTCACATCATTTCTTTGTGTTATAAGTCAGCAGCAGTGGGTCAAGTGTAGTTAGTTGACTTAGCTGTTCTTCTCAATTACCTGCTCCCGGATTTTCTTTTCTTTTCTTTTTTTTTAAATAAACATTTTATTTTATTTTTTTTTTGTTTGTTTGTTTGTTGTTGTGGTGGTGGTAGTGCTGAGGATCGAACCTAGGGCCTCGCACATGCAGGGTGAGCACTCTGCCACTGAGCCACAACCCTGGCCCCTCTAGATTTCTTTGAAGACCTCTCCCTGCCTTCCCAGAGCCACTAGGTGACCAGAGGAATTAAGTATTGCTGAGAACACCAACTCTTCCTGGGTGGAGGAGGGAGTTCATTTGAACAAATAGAATTTGTTGAATCCAGCCTGACTCATGTGATGCTCTGTGAGCCAATAGTGGGGTTAGAAATGTGGTGGGGCTGGGGCTGGGGCTGTGTGTGGTTCAGCGGTAGTGCACTTGCCTGGCATGTGTGAGGCACTGGGTTTGATTCTTAACACCACATATAAATAAATAAAGTAAAGCTAAAAAATATGTTTTTTTAAAAAAGAAATGAATGTAGTGTTCATTTTGTTGTTTGTATTAAAATATGCAGTTTTCAGATATGGTAGTAAATACTTATTTTATGCTGCTATGAACATAAATGTACAAATATCTCTTCAGTGTGCTGATGAGTCTTTGGATATATACTCAATAGTGGGATGCTGAACCATATGTAGTTCTTTTTAAAAACTTTTGAGCAACCTTCATACTCTATAATGGTTACAATAGTTTGTGTTTCCATCAGTAATATACAAGAGTTCCCAATTTTCCATATCCTTGCCAAAATTTTCTTTTTTTTTTAATGACTATTTTAACAGGTATGAGGTGATATTTATTTATTTATTTATTTATTTTGTGGTGCTGGGGATTTAACCCAGGATCTTGTGCATGCAAGGCAAGCACTCTACCAACTGAGCTATATCCCCAGCCCTCGTATTGTATTTTAAACTTGCATTTCCCTGGTCATTAATGATGTTGAACTTTTTTCATGAATCTGTTGGTCATTTGTATGTCTTCTTTTGAAAAATGTCTGTTCAAGTCCTTTGCCCATTTTTAAATTAGAATATTTTTTCTTAGCTTTTGAGTTCTTTGAATTCCTTATATGTTTTGGATATGAACCCATTATCAGATGTGTTATTTAAACAGAAATATTTTCTCCCATTACATAGCTTGTGTCATCAATCAATTGGTTGCTCTCCTTCTGTGCAGAAGCTTCTTAGTTTGATGTGACCTCATTTGCCTATTTTTGCTTTTGTTACCTGTGGTTTTAGTGTCACATAAAAAAAAAAAAAAAAGTTCTTGCCTAGGCCAGTTTCATGGAGCTTTCACCCTGTTTTCTTCCAGTGGGTTTTTTAAAGTTGTAGATGGACACAATAACTTTATTTTATGTATGTATTTTTATGTAGTGCTGAGGATTGAACCCAGTGTCTCAACACATGCTAGGCACTGAGCCACAGCTCCAGCCCTTCTTCTAGTAGGTTTTGTTGTTGTTGTTGTTTTGGTACCAGGGATTGAACTCATGGGCACTTGACCACTGAGCCACATCCTCAGCTCTATTATGTATTTTAGTTAAGAGACAGGGTCTCACTGAGTTGCTTAGCACCACTTTTACTGAGTCTGGCTTTGAACTCGCGATCCTCATGCCTCAGCCTCCTGAGCTGCTGGGATTACAGGAGTGTGCCACCAGCTCTTTTATTAGTTTCATGATTTTTAAAATACATTTTAAAAGACTTTAAGTCTTTTAATGCATTTTGAGTTGATTTTTTGCATGAGTATAATTTCATTCTTTTGCTTGTGGATATCTGATCTTTAGTTGAATTCTATTATGGTGGTCAGAGAACACATTTTATTTTCTATTTTGATAAATATTTATTGGGATTTTTTTATGATCTAGTATATTTATTATCTGTCTTGGAGAATGTTCCATGGGAGATTGCATATGTTGCTTTTATTGGGTGGAGTGTTGTTTAGATAAGAGGTCAAGTTGGTTAACCATGTTGCTCAAGTGCTATGTCCTCCAATATTGAGAGTAGAATATTGAAGTCTCCAACAGTTATTGTTCTTGTAGTATTTCTTATAAGGCAGGTCTGCTAACAAGTCTTTTAGTGTTTATCTGATAATATTTTTATTTTAGCTCCATTTTTGGAGGATAGTTTTGTCAGAGCATTGATGCTTTCTACACTTTCCCTATGTCTTCCTTTGCCTTCTAAGCTCCATTGTCTTTTTTTAAAATATTCTTTTAGTTGTTGATAGACCTTTATTTTAATCATTTATTTATATGTGGTGCTGAGAATCAAACTCAGAGCCTCACACATGTGAGGCAAGCACTCTACCACTGAGCCACAATTCCAGCCTCTCCATTGTTTCTTAACTGATAATCTTAAGGCATTCTCTTATCTGATGAATTGTTTTACTTTTGTTGTCTTCACATTGTCTCTTAGTTTTGAGCTTTCAGTTTATGATGTGTTGAGATATGGGTCTTTTTGTGTTTGTCTTACTTGGAAGGAATTGAACTTTATGGATGTATGGACTTATCTTTTGAAAATTTGGAAATTTTTCAAACATTATTTCTTTAAGTGTATTTTTTTTCCTTACTCCTCCTTGTGGAATTCTGTTATGTAGATATTGGTATGCTTGAAATAATTCCACAGGTCCCCGTGGCTTTGTTAACTTTTTTTTTAGTATTTTATTCCTTTCTTTTCTTCAGATTATATCATTAAATTAATCTATCTTTTTTCTTTTATGTGGTGCTGAAGATGGAACCCAGGGCTTTGTGCATGTTAGTTTGGGCATGCTAGGCAATTGATCTACTACCACAAGCTTCATCCCCAGCCCTACTGATGTATTTTTTTTTAATATATTTATTTTATTTTTACGTGGTGTTGAGGGTCGAACCCAGCACCTCGCGTATGCCAGGCGAGTGCGCTACCGCTTGAGCCACATCTCCAGCCTCCTAGTAATGTATTTTTAAGATGGCTATTTTTTTCCTCTACCAGCTCAAATCTGTTGTTGAGTAACTGTAGTGAATTTTTGTTTTACATAATTGTATTTTCAATTCCAAGATTTCCATTTCTTCTTCTCCTTCTCCGTACTGGTGATTGAACTCAGGGACACTCAATTACTGTGCCACTCCCCAGCCCTATTTTGTATTTTATTTAGAGACAGGGTCTCACTGAGTTGCTTAGCACCTCGCTATTGCTGAGGTTGTCTTCGAATTCATGATTCTCCTGTTTCAGCCTCCAGAGCCACTGGGATTATAGGCATGCACCACTGTGCCCAGCTCCATTTATTTAATTTTTTTTAAAATATTTTTTA